TCCTGTGTATATATATAAGAATATTAGTTTAATCCTGTTTAATGTTCTGTATTCCCTACAGTATGTTCAACCTCAATTTGATTCCTTACTGTATTATATATTTTGATGATAAAAACTGTAGTTATTATCGCGTAATCAGTTATAAAGAAAGTATATCTTTAATATTAATTAAACATGAATATTTTTATTTTAATCGATGTATGCATTTCATAATTTTAGTATGCAAATTCTTTTAATTGGTTTGTATTTAATTGTATTGTGGGCTTTGTGGAAAGCAGTGTTTGTTCCGATTCAGGGCTTAAACTGTCAATAAATGAATAAAATAAACAGAATCAAACAAGTCTATAATTCAAGTGGGTTATAAATATAATATGAAATCATAACAAAAATTCCACATGGGCACACCAATCTAGTATCTGAACAGATAACATGAATCACCATGGAAACTAATATATTACTTATGGATAAATGCCAGGAGAAATCAGGTTTGAAAGGAAGGCAAATGCAGACAGACGAGCAGGAACCCTGGAATCTAGGGAATGCTTGGCAGTCATAAGCAAGAACTATAGAGCTGATTTACTGTGAATATTAATCAACTGTAGGGCTGTTTGTAGAATGCAATCTAAGAAAATGAGCACATTTTAAAGATCCCTCGCTGACGAGGTCTTCATGTTCAGATTAATTACTCATTGACCGCCTTGGTAGTTAACATTTCAACTAAAACAATTAGCCTAGTGCACAACATGAATCAACCATGGGTGAAATTAAAGGAAGTTAATTAGAGCTAATTATAAAATAATTAAGCATGCCCCTAGCTTAAATGACTAGTGCAATATATTAGTCAAGAAAATTGCAGGGTTATGTGGTTTTGGTTAATTTGTAGAAGGTAACTTCAATCCCACGGTCATATGCTTGGTCATAAAGTAGGTTCAAATTTAATCAGAAACCATGATTTTTAGCTCTAATGAAGAGCTCTAGAAAACACTTGGCTGTTTGATTAAAAATAGATTTTGGTTAAAATAGATAGTATGGTTGGCCGTTAGGGCCCTCGGCTAAAGGATTAATAGATCTTTTCTGGGGGGGCTGTTAGGGTCAGTATACTCTGCCTCTTTTATACTGCCCTCATTGGAGCTTTCGAGATTACGTTTTTCTTTTGACTAGAAGTAGAAATTCCCAGAGCTTCATTAGAAGAATAATGAACAGGTTCTCAATTAATAAATATATATTAAAAAAAAAAAAAAAAAGATACTTCGCAGTATGTAACCTACCAAGAAAAAGAAAATATATAAACATAATGTACAAACTAGTATACAGTCTGTGACAAACTAAATTATGTTT